CAGCCGATGACGGAGAAGCTCTACATAGTCAGCAAAAACAAGACTGGGAGCTGACTGTGGCTCAGATCATGAGTTCCTATTGCACAATTCAGGCTTAAATTGAAGAAAGTAGAGAAAACCACTAGACCATTCAGATATGACCTACAATCAAATCCCTTACAATTATACAGTGGAAGTGACAAACAGATTTAAGGGATTAGATCTCATAAACAGAGTGCCACCCAAAGATTCACATTAGAAAGAAGGGGCAACATGATTGAAAAATATCTGTAACACATTACGTAGATTGTGAAAAGATATTTTTCATAGACAGATGTTTATAGATGAATGAATGAAGGGGGGACAGAGGTGGACAGAGATAGGGGTTTTAGACATGGACTTTAAATCTTTGTAATGTGTCACAAGGGAAAACTTCCAGTCACTATCTCACCTTGCATTTTTACTTGTCCTGGATTTTGACTTATTCCAAAACATGTTCTCTGTGTGTGTGTGTGTGTTGCTCAGGCATGTCCGACTCTTTGTGATCCCATGGGCTGTAGCCCACCAAGCTCCCCTGCCCACGGGATTATCCAGGCAGGAATACTGGAGTCCGTTGCCATTTCCTGATGAAGACTATCTAGGAAAAGGCCCGCTTTCTTCTGATTATGTTAACAAAATATTTTAGAAATTTGGGAAACTATCATTCAAAGTAGTCTGTATAATTTCACCTACAATTACATAGCATTTTAAAAAATGGGATTACCTGATATTATTGGTGACCGTTTCACTTCATATGAGCAATTACTCTATCCATTTATAAATTTAAAAGATGTGAATTTAATAGTTGCAAATATTCCTTATGATACCTTGTATCACAGGACCTGTTTCTACAGCTCCTGATGCCAGCTTCCTCTGAACATATCTTGTTCATCTCTGAAAGTGGAGTCCAGAACCTATCAGCTCCAGGCAACGTTCAAATCTATTTTCATCCCTTGAATTTTCAAAGCAGGTTCTCTTTTATCCTTTCTTCTAGGACAGCAGGCACTTCATACCATGTCCCCTCTCCTTTAAGAGCCCCTGCCAGACCAAGGCACTGCTCAATCAATTCTCAGTCTGCCCTGTGCACAGTGCAGATTGTATGGTAAATATTCAATAGAGATTTGAAGCACAATAGGTCTAAATGAGTTACTTGTTATTGCTGATGTCATCCTAAAATTATAAATAAATTCCAGAAAACAATCAGTGTTACCTGAAGCAAAAGGACAGGGTACTGTCCGCAAGGTTTGCAAGCTGGGGAGACACAATTCTTGCCTGTAACTGAAAGCACATTGCCGGGGCTGAAGGGAGGGAAGAACTTTTAAAAAGCAAAAGCCCCAGAATGCTCAGCTGGGAGACTTGTAAGAGGGTTAAATGACCCTGTGCAGCGTAAGCACAAATCCTTGCAGCTGGACCACAGTCTGCCATGACTGGTGGTCAACGGAACTTCTCCTTCAGAGTGCTCACAGGTAGGACCCTTAGCAGAATCAGAACTCTTCAGAGCTTTTGTTTGTGCTTTTATAAGAACTCAGAGTACATTACTTAATCTCAGGTCTGTTATGAACACATGACTCTGGTTTATTTGGGGTCTCTGTTAGCTAGAGTGGGCCCATTTTCTATGCTCTCTTAAGGAATTTCTCTCATTTTTACTTTTCCTTGGGGGTAACTATTTTACTTTTACATGGACAAAGTTGATTTTCCATGAAAATTCACTGCCCTTCCTGGGGCACACCACTGGAAGACTTCCCAGCTTCTTCTGTGGCCACAGGACCACATCATGGCCAATGAAGTAGTAGAGAAACTGATGATGCATCCTGGCCTATTACAACCTCCCACAGGCATTTCTCCAGGTTGCTGCCCCTTCTGCTGATGGATCCAGACGGGGATGAGACCCTGGGATGGAAGAGGCCGAGGACAGGGGAAGTCTGGGTTCCTGAATGGCCACAGGAGGACGTGCAGGCTCCCCAGGGTGAGCGCCCGCTCAGCACTCTCATGGGGGAAACAGAGTGATGTGCTTCTGAAATTTTAAGTGATTTGATAATTCAGCATAAACTATTATACCCACAAAAATCTTAATCATAGGATGAACTTAAATAGCCGTCAATCTAGTACATTTAAATAACAAAAGTAAATTTTGTACCATTAATAGTTTTAACATCCAGTTTAACCTTGTTAATGCTGACTCAGTCATTTGAACTCAGAGAACTTCAATTCCTCAACATTTTAAATTCTGAACTTAATAAAAACTTCAATAAGAATTATACTAATATTTGAAACACAGTGTAGAGAAAGTATTTTCAAGAGAAAACTTCAATAGATTTTAATTCCTTGATCTTGATTTGAAAACACAGCACAGCAAACTATTTGTGGTTTATCCATATTTATTTCTAATTGGAAATATTTTAGTTGGGATTCATTTTTAAAAAATGACATGTTTGTTAACCACATCACAGCTGAATGACTATAAATATCCTTTTTGGGAGATTCTTTAGTGATCAGTACTTGTATGTGGTTGACTGACTTGGTTCACATATCAGCTATCAGAAAATTTCAAAATGTTCTTTTCCTTTCATCAAGTTTAAGTCAGTAATACTTTTGATCTCATGGAGTTTTATATGGTGTGGAATACTTCAACTACTAATGATTTCCCTAATGTTGCAAGAGGCCTTAAGATCAAAATTCTGGCACCCAGTCTATTTCTTTGAAGACAGTGATTAAGTTTTGGTCCAGCTTTTGGAACATTTGCCCCCCAAGGCTCCACCACCCTCCCTTTATGCCTAACTCAATAGAGAAGAAGATGTTCTCAGAGCCACTTACAAGGTTCAGGGAGATGAAAGCTACACAATGGATCTCATCACCTGCCTAGGAATTGAAAGGATCTTTCCCATTCAAATATCCTGGTAAGGAACCACACTTCTAATTTCTTTGGGAGTCAAGAAACATCAAGGAAAGGAAGTCTGTGGTTGGTAAATGAACAAACGGCCAATCCATCTGAGAATCACTCCACCGCCTCCCCTTCCTCTGGGTGTTTGGTGTACGGAAAGAGCCCGTGGTCATCACCAGGTGGTTTTCCTTCTTTTTCCCTTAGAAGAGAAACTCAGTTTTATTGTGGACACCAATGCACCAAACTTAGTACTCGAATTTCCCTTGTGTACCTGTTGTCCATCTTTGAAATGTCTTCCATTATCTTCAACAGTGAAACAACATACTTCCTAATTATCAGAGTCAGAACTGCAGGATTATAAAAAGTCATTCCTGACTGTTTCAAGGGAAAAATTTGCTAACTCAAGAAACAATTTTGATAGAGAAAGACAACCTATCTCTGTGTTACAAAGCATAGTACTTTGCACCAATCATTAGGTTTAATTAGATTGTTTTTAAGCCTCCTAAGTAGGTACCTCTTTCACTTTCATCAAGAGGCTTTTTAGTTCCTCTTCACTTTCTGCCATAACAGTGGTGTCATCTGCATATCTGAGGTTATTGATATTTCTCCTGGCAATCTTGATTCCAGCTTGTGCTTCTTCCAGCCCAGCATTTCTCATGATGTACTCTGCATATAAGTTAAATAAGCACAGTGACAATATACAGCCTTGACGAACTCCTTTTCCTATTTGGAACCAGTCTGTTGTTCCATGTCCAGTTCTAACTGTTGCTTCCTGGCCTGCATACAGGTTTTTCAAGAGGCAGGTCAGATGGTCTGGTATTTGATGAAAGTGAAAGAGGAGGGTGAAAAAGTGGGCTTAAAACTCAACATTCAGAAAACTAAATCATGGCATCTGTTCCCATCATTTCATGGGAAATACATGGGGAAACAGTGGAAACAGTGTCAGACTTTACTTTGGGGGGCTCCAAAATCACTGCAGATGGTGATTGCAGCCATGAAATTAGAAGATGCTTACTGCTTGGAAGGAAAGTTATGACCTATCTAGGTAGGATATTAAAAAGCAGAGACATTACTATGCCAACAAATGTACATCTAATCAAGGCTATGGTTTTTCCAGTGGTCATGTATGGATGTGAGAGCTGGACTGTGAAGAAAGCTGAGCGCTGACAAGTTGATGCTTTTAAACTGTGGTGTTGGAGAAGACTTTTGAGAGTCCCTTGGACTGCAAGGAGATACAACCAGTCCATCCTAAAGGAGATCAGTCCTGGGTATTTGTTGGAAGCACTGGTGCTGAAGCTGAAACTCCAATACTTTGGCCACCTCATGCAAACACCTGACTCATTGGAAAAGACCCTGATGCTGGGAGGGATTGGGGACAGGAGGAAACGAGGACGACAGAGGACAAGATGGCTGGATGGCATCACCACTCGATGGACATGAGTTTGAGTAAACTCCAGGAGTTGGTGATGGACAGGGAGGCCTGGCGTGCTGCGATTCATGAGGTTGTAAAGAGTTGGACACGACTGAGTGACTGAACTGAAGTGAACTGAAGTATATACTAACAAACAGCACATAAAAAACCACAGAACAAAACCCAAACTATTCTCAAACAAAATATACATTTTCTGGAAAAAAATCTGAGAATTCCCCTGGAATAGATATCCAAAATTGCAAAAGGGTGCACCACAATTTCATGAAATGAACATTTCTCTGGATTCCAAAGTCTTCCCTTCAAGCAAAATTTACCAAACAACCGAGCTCTTTGTAGATGCTAGAATTTGAAAATACTTTAGCATCTATGATTACTGTGCAGAAATAAACATTTTAAATGCTCCTTTAACTTAAAGTAATGCCATTTCTCAATGGTCTCTTGCTGGAAAAGATGAACAGAAACAAGAACAGACTGTTCAAAAAGCCCTCCTTACGCAAAAACATTAAAAGGCAGGGAGTACTTTACTTGAAACTTTGTTTAGGTGTTAGTATGTCACGGATTACCCTCTTGGAAGCGCTAGCTGAGTTAGTCACAGTCAGTCAATAAAGCCCAAAAACAGTGAACGTGAATGTGAACTTTAACCTTTTGTACCTGATCCTCCAGAAGGCTTTAGGAAAGAGCATGAACTCCCAGCTGAACACCCACTGCCGGCGGCCAGGGAACAGGATCCCTGAGCTGTGCACCCACACCACCCGCACGCATCCCGGGAGCAGAGACCCCTTCACACGTGGGGACCCAGCGCGTCGAAGACACACCCCGCGGCCCAAGGTTCGCGCTCCTCGGCGGCACCTCCCCGTCCAGGATCCACGCGCCCGCAGCGACGGGGCCCAGGCAGCTTTCGCAGACCCATAGGCCGTCCCCGGTGGTCTTGGCGAAGCCCCGCCGAGTGGAGACTCCAGAGGCGCTGGGCATGGAGGCTGCGAGCGCACGGGGCGCCCACCACTCCACGACCACCCTGGGGCCCTGGCCCAGCTTTCTCATCCTGCGGCCGGGGGCTGCGGCCGGTGGCAGCGACCCTGGAGCCGAGGACTGAGGGTGGCTCGAGTTCCTCTGAGCTGGAGGAATCAGGGGCCGCTGGCCATTGGGCAGGCGGGGGCACACGGTGAGGGGCTGCGGATAGAGCTGCACTTACACGTGTCTGTGATGCTCCCAGGTCCGGGGCATTTTGCAGTGGGGACCGACCCAGTCTCCAACTTCCCTTCCCTCAGGACTGGTCCTGGGAGCTCAGGCGTCCCTGTGCCTCCGCCCTCGCACATGTGGCCGCTCATGCCTGAGCACTCGCACCTGCATCCGCTCACACCTGCGCCCTTGCTCCAGGGCCGGTGGGGGTGGGGAGGGTCGTTTGTCAGCCTCAGGACTCCTGGCTGGAATATCCTTACTTTACATTTCCTTAAAATGTTTGACTTGATATCAGTTTTTTTTAAAAAAATAAATGTCAAGTTTTCTTATCCTAATCATAATTTCATGACTATAGATTCTGTCTTTGTAAGATTTCTTTAAGAATAACAATTTCTACTTGGTCAACTGAGTCAGATAATAGGTACCACAATTATATATTGCTTCTATAAATTTTCAGTCAATACGTTTTAGCCTGTGAAGTTTTATTTAGTGTGTGTGTGTGTGTGTGTGTGTGTGTGTGTGTGTGTGTGTGTGTTACTACTAATCAGCCTTGGCAGGGGCAGAGTCTTGAGATGAAGGGAGAGTCAGGGTCTCCTAGGCTAGGGCTGTCTCCCTGTCACATAGTTTGCTGTGGCAATCACAGGTCCTAAGCCCGCAGGATATTTTGGAATGTGGAGTAGATTCTCTGGGTGTGCACACAAGCATGCACTGACACACATCAGAGGAAGGGGCCACAGGGAGTGGGGCCAGGGGAGGGCTGGACCTTGGGGCGGCAACAGTGACAGAAACGTGCATCATTTTTCCTTGGACTAAGGTAAAGACCACCTTGTTGGACCTCATATGGAATCAAGGTCAGAACACCTGCACTGGCTGTGGTGAGGAGTCCTCAGAGGGAATTAGACACCCCATGGTTGAAGTGGACAAGAGGAGGTGGAGGGCCTCTTCAAGGTCCCTCTCAAAGCTCCCGGTTCCTGTGGATCCTGTCACATCCCCTCCTGGGGCCCAAGGAATGGTGGTGACCTGAAGTCTCTCAGAGGTGTGGTTTGTGCTGTGGTTTCACTGCTTGGTGTGCAGTATGAGTGGTTCCCATCAAAGGGGTGAAGTGTCCAGTACTGGGGTGAGGAGAGTGTCCCTTGCACTCCTACACATTGCCCTGCCTCTGACCTGGCCTATACCTCCTCCTAATAGCATCCGAGCTTCTCAGTGGAGGAATGGAGCCTCTTATCTATTCAATTGCCAGCTGTGCCCTGAGCATTCAGTGGGGGCTGTGATGAAAAGAAGCACCAGGGTCACAGACTGGAGGGGGAACTGGAGAAACACAGAAGGAAGCAAGTTCTATGTAGAAAAACAGTAGGTGCCACAATGTGGTCATGGAAAGGCTGCACTGAGGGGACATGTCTGTCCCCAGCAGGGTAATGAGAAGGTGCCAGCCATTCACACATCTGGGGATAATTATCCTAGAAGAAGGCACAACTGTATGGACACACAGAATGTGTTTGTCCAGAGATGAAACCAGAGGAAGCTAGTGTGGCTGATGGGAACTTGGGAAGACAGTAGCGGACAGCAGGGAGGGAGGGGCTACGGCCTGAATGCTTGATGGCTGTGTGAGTGGTCCATTCTATGTGACAACATTAGCCAATCTTGAGTGACTTAAGCAACAAACATTTATTATCTCACACTATCTGTCGACCAGGAATTGACCATGATTCACCTGGAGTCCTCTGCCAGTGTCTCCCTGGGGTCTAGGACTGTGAACTCATTGAGTCAGGACCCAAGAGCTCCTCTGTCATGGTCTCAATGCTAAACCACAGATGCCTCTTCATATGGCAACTTGTAATACACAGGCTTGTTCCTTAGAGTGAGGGACCAGGAAGAGAGAAGGACGGAGAGAGAGGAAACTGCAATACAAATGAAGAAGTGGAAATTATACACCTAAATTCTGGGGATTGTCAAATGGTACTGCTGCTGCTGCTAAGTCGCATCATCGTGTCTGACGCTGTGCGACCCCATAGGTGGGAGCCCACCAGGCTCCCCCGTCCCTCAGATTCTCCAGGCAAGAGCACTGGGGTGGGTTGCCATTTCCTTCTCCAATGCATGAAAGTGAAAAGTGAGAGTGAAGTCGCTCAGTCTTTTCTGACTCTCAGCAACACCATGGACTGTAGCCTACCTGGCTCCTCCGTCCATGGGATTTTCCAGGCAAGAGTACTGGAATGGGTCACCTGTGCCTTCTCTGTCAAATGGTTACAACCACTGTACATAACACTTCAGTAGTTTCTCAGAAGGACAAGCCTACAGTTTTCAGTCAATCCCCAAATTCCCCTCCTACATCAATACCCAAAAGCATGTGAATACACATATTCACATTCCTGTACGCAAGTATTCAGAGCACCACGGTTCAGAAGAGCCCAAAGGTGAAAACTCTAATGTCCATCAACATATAAAAGCCAAATGTGCTGGTTCCTGAATGGAATATTATTTAGCAGTGAAAATGTTCTCAAATAGACATTTAATAGGGTTATGTAACATTGTGAATGAACTTATTGTAATTAACATGAACAATCTAAGATAATCAAACTATTAAATTTTAAGTGAATTTTATATCATAAACAATTTAGTATACTTTGAAAAAAATACCAAAAATGGACTTGCTCTATCTCTGGAACTCTGGTGGGCAGTAGAAGTGTAGTTGGCTCCAGGTCTGGAGAGGTTTCCAAAGCTTGTTCTGGAGCTGATGATGTAGTTCCAAGAAGAGAATACATCAATAGGACTGCTTTTCCAAGTGCCTCTCAAAAACAGAAGAGAAAGCTTCTCACTGCCACTCAATGATCTCTCAAAGATGCCAGCCACAGAAAGTCTTCCCAGACTGCAATCCAGGGCAATAGTGATCTGAGCTTCCTCATTGCTCCTGGCCCAGATCCAGCCTCAGAAGTTTCTGCTCTGTATGGTTCAGCTCCCTCCCATCCTCATTGCTCCCATTACATCCCCTTCTGCCTCAGTGGGCTCCAGGGTCTCCAGCTGTGCCAGGAGATGTAGGGTTTGGTGCTCCAGGTCTGAGTCAGGCATGCTGAGGTCTATTTAAGCCAGTAGCGTCCTTAGGCAGGGAAACTCTGGGGGCTGGTGGAAACCCTCAGGTTAATGGTACAGGTAGCTGCCCAGGATGGTGACATGGCCCTGGGGGGAGTCAGGTGGGCAGAAGAGTCAGAGACCTGGTCTTTCTTCCACACTGAGCTCCCGGGCAGCCCTGTGGGGTCTGGGACTTTTTGCCTTCTGCTCCTGCCCATTCAGAGGCCAGTTCTCCTCCATGTCACATCTCACTTGGTGGTTCTTTGGAAAACTGAGTCCCTCCCTCTTGAATCAAAGTCCCACCCACATTTTCAGCTGGTGTAGTGGTCCACTGTCCTCATCAGAGTAAGGGAGGATGCATCCATACCTAGAGGAGTCCAGGAAGGCCTCATGGACAGTGCTGGAGACACGCCCAGATGTGATGGCCAGTGTGACAGTGTGACCCCTGGGAGAACTGAAGCCCTGGAGGGCAGGACTGCTATCTGCTCAATGTATTACATGATGGTTGTTCCTAGAAAAGTGCCTATACCTTGTGGGCCTTCCTGTATATTTCAAGAATGAATGAGCCCAACCAGCGCCATATGAGTCCCTGGGGCACTACTGATCACTCCCAGGGAGCCCTGCTCTCACTCACCCAGGGCAGGGCACCTCTCCCAACTCACCTTGCAAATGGGAATCAGTTTGGCCCAAGGTCAAAGGCCAGAGACAACTGAGACAGAGACTTCCTTGAGGGGAGGAGGAACATGATGACTAAGTACAATCACAGTCCCTCCAGCAGACTTTTCCATGGGGCCAGGTCCCCAGAAAGCACTTTTCAAATTTCCAGGAAGGACCCACTTAGTCCCCACATTCACCATGAGGGTTTGTTCTCCCTTGCCCTTGTGTGCAGAGGGACCAATTGGGGCTTAGAGAGGTGTAGAGATGTTCCTGTGACTCCAGCTGGAATGGGGCCGACTCCCCAGTGTGCCATAGGTGGAGGGAAGTGCTCACTTTGTGAAGAAGGTCCAGCACCTGCTTTGTTGTTGTTGTTTAGTCACTTAGTCTGACATTTTGCAACCCTGTGGGTGGCAGTACACTGGCTTTCCTGTGCTTCACTATCTCCTGGAGTTTGCTCAAACTCATGTTCATGTGGTCAGTGAAGCCATCCAACCATCCCGTCCTCTGTTGTCCCCTTCTCTTGCCTTCAATCTTTGCAGCATCAGAGTCTTTCCCAATGAGTTGGCTCTTTGCTTTCATCAGAAGGTTTTCCAATGAGCCAGCTCTTCCCACCAGGGAGCCAGAGTATTGGAGATTCAGCTTCAGCATCAGTGCTTCCAATGAATATTCAGGACTGATTTCCTTTAGGATTGACGGGTTTGATCTCCTTGCAGTCCAAAGGACTCTCAAGAGTCTTCTCCAACACCACAGTTCAAAAGCATCAATTCTTCATCACTCAGCCTTCTTTATGATCCAACTCTCACATCTATCCATAACTACTGGAAAAACCGTAGCTTTGACTATATGGATCTTTGTTGGGAAAGTAATGTCTCAGCTTTTTATATGCTGTATAGGTTTGTCACAGCTTTTATGCTTTTTATATGCTGTGTAGGTTTTTTATAGCTTTTTTCCCAAGGAGCAAGTGTCTTTTAACTTCATGGCTGCAGTCACTATCTGCAGTGATTTTGGAGCCCAAGAAAATAAAGCCTGTCACTGTTTTCATTGTTTCCTCATTTATTTGCCATGAAATGATGGGACCAGATGCCCTGATCTTACTTTTTGAATGCTGAGTTTTAAGCCAGCTTTTTCACTCTCCTCTTTCC